CCCACATATACACACCAGCAAGGCCCACACAGCTCCTGGCTGCCAAGGACACCAAGGCTTCTCCCCCCATCAATGGCCATGCTGGTGAACCCTCCATGAGTCCCAGTTGTTGGGCCTGCCAAGGGTCCCTCCCCCAGTCAATGGTGGCAAGGTCTGCATGGCTCCCAGCCTACCAAGACTTCTCTCCTATCAATAGCAGTGAGCCCCATGAGGCTCCCAGCCACCAGGCTCACCAAAACTTCTTTCCCCTGTCGATGACAGTGGCAGCGAGCTAGGCGTGTCTTCTAGCTGCCAGGCCCACTGAGCTTTCTCCCCCTCGATGATGTTGGCAACCCCGCATGGCTCCTGGCCACCTCCAAGATTTTTAACTTCCCAGGGATGAAATTCACGGCCTCCCCCCTGCTTCTCCCTCAAAGTATATAAAGGGTCTCTTTAAATGCTTTGGAGGAGAAGCACGCACGCACGCGGCCTCCCCCTGCTTATGAGCCAGTTTGGTGTAGTGGTTAAGTGCGCGGACTCTAATCTGGGAGAACCGGGTTTGATTCCTCACTCCTCCACTTGCAGCTTCTGGATGACCTTCGGCAAGCCATAGTTCTGTCAGAGCTTTTCATTGTTGGTGAATTTGTGGCTTGGAGTATAGGCCCTGCTTCTCCAAAGTATTTAAAGGGCCCCTTTAAATGTTTTGAGGGAGGAGAAGAAGAGGAGGAGGAGGTTGGATTTATACCCCACCCTTCACTCGGAGTCTCAGAGCAGCTTACAAACTCCTTTCCCTTTCCCTCCCCACAACAGACACCCTGTGAGGTTGGTGGGGCTGAGAGAGCTCTGACAGAAACTGTTCTTTTTCAAGAACAATTGTGCCAGAACTATGGATTGCCCGAGGTCATCCAGCCAGATGCAAGTGGAGGAGTGGGGAATCAAACCCGGTTCTCCCAGATTAGAGTCTGCACACCCCAAACTGACTCCTGAGGAGGACGAAATCTTGTCTAGCATCCTGTCTAGAAGTCCTATCTTGCATCCTTTTGCTGGGGGCTGTAGCCAAGCCACCCTGTCAGTCAGCATCTGCAACAGGGAGGTAATAATTACTGTTACAACCCTTTTTGCATGCTAAGTGCCTTACAGTATTAATCCAATTTGGCCTCATAGTAACCCTGGAAAACAGGATATAAATATTATCATTTTATAAATGGTTAACTGAATCTAAAAGACCGTTATTTGCTCTAAGCAATCTAATAAATCATAGCTCTACATAGATGTTCACACGCCAGCCTGGCTTATATTTCAGAGGAAATTTTGATATTTCGTTACAATTGAAGTCGCAAGATTGCTGATTACTTTGCCTGTTTATGCAAAATGAAGGAGTGATTACATGCTAAAATGATCTGTTAATTGTTCCTGTCATCCCTCTCCCTGTAAAACTGTTTGGTAGGCATGAGTGATTTAATCTGCCATGATCTCAGCTTCTCTCGGCAAACCTCAGAAGCCACAATTACAAACAAACAAAAGTTCCTCTGGTTCAACAAAAAGTACTTGAGGCATGCATGAGTGAAATCATAGCTCTGCAACAGGTTCACCTGAGGGTACCAAGCACCAGCTGAAGGCCTGCACTTTGGCCTGTGCCCAGCTGTGGGCTCTCCCGCCCCTCCAGATCCTCATGCAGCTGTGGTTGCTGAACAGCTTCCTTTGATGGCACTTGGGAGGTAAACTGGTAAATGATGCAGCTGTGTGTGGGTGCCAAAGGCATAGCAAGCATGACACTTCACAGCCTTAGGCGCCAGCACACACCCAGAGGAATGAGAGCAACGCTGGGCAGAGCTGTGGACTGCAAAGATGCTCTTCTCGGCACTCCAAACAAGCCCCTTTCTATGCATCCCAAAGAAAAGTGCCATTCACATCAAGCCCGGGGACCAAGGCGATGCCCTGCTAGCTCAGAGGCTAACCAGCCCTGCTTATCAGCTTGGGGTGGCAGAGAAACCTTTGGCGGGCAGTCGGTTCAAAGTATGGGGGGGGCACACCTGATTGTAGTACAGCTGTGAAAACTCGGCCCCACTTCCCCCGTCCACAGCAGCAGCGCCCTCGCCCGGGACTGCCTCCTTCGCCCCCCCCCCTCCCAAAGGGTGGCCAGCAGCTGGCGAAGGAAGGGCCAGGCTCTCTCGCGCCGGGGCCCCCCCTGAGGACCCACCCGGACTGTCCGCGGCAGCCGTGGCGGCGAAGGGAGCTCGAGGGATGGGCGAAGCGACTCCGAGGCTGCCCTTACCTTGCGAGGCAGCCAAGGCGAACGTCAGCTGCGCCATCAGCAGCCACCGCTTCCCGGCGCGGTCCATGCCGTGCGTCCCGGAGGCAGCGAGGCACGCGGCTCGGCGCTCGGGTCCGCTCTGCCCGGCGGCGGGCGGGCGGCTCTGCGTGCGCGGATCGTGCGAGGGACTCGCCGCGGGGCTGGCCAGAAGCAGCCGGGGGGACTGCGAAACTCCGGAAATTTCACCAGCGCTGCTGCCGCCGCCGCTGCACAAACGCTGCGCGCCTCAGGCTGCAGAAGCGAAGAGCACCCCCAGGAGGTCAGAGGCGAGAGAGCGCGCTCGGAGGAGGCCCCCGGCCAGTCACCTGCTGGGACTAGTTTTATCGAGCTCTAGCGCCCAGTGACTCAATAGCCCCAGCAGTAGGAGGAGGTCAAAAGCTGTTGCTTAGGGGCGATTCCTGACTTTTCAGTATCAGCGACTATTTATCTAATGAGGGAACATCTGTTCAGGCCAGCTCCGATAGTTTGTGTGTGTGTGGGGGGAGGGGGGAATCTCGAGGGAAGGAATGTCATAATCACTGTTAATAATTCCAGAGGGGAATTACATAGCAGTCTGGGAGCATCTTAAACACTAACAGAATTTATTTCAGCCTGAGCTCTTATGAGTCACTGCTCACTCATTTCACACTCTAGCAAGGTCGTACTCAAGATCCTACAAGCTAGGCTTTGGCAGTAGGTAGATAACTCTCAGAAGTACAAGCTGGGTTTCAAAGAGGCAGAGGAACTACAGATCAGATTGCCAACATTCGCTGGATTATGGAGAAAGCAAGGGAGTACCAGAAAAACATCTACTTCTGCTTTATTGTGTGGATCACAACAAAGGATGGCAAGTCCTTAAAGAGACCAGACCACCTCACATGTCTTCTGAGAAACCTGTATGAAGGGCAAAAAGTGACAGTTAAAACTGCATATGGAACAATTGATTAGTTTAGCATAGGAAAAGGTGTACAACAAGGATGTATATTATCACCCTGCTTATATAATTTATATGCAGAGTACATCATGTGACATGCCGGCCTGGATGAATCACAAACTGGAATTAAGATTGTCAGGAAAAATATTAACAACCTCAGATATGCAGACGATACCACTCGAATGGCAGAAAGTGAAGAGGACCTAAACAGCCTCTTGCTGAGGGTGAAAGGGGAGAGCACAAAAATTGGCTTGAAACGCAACATCAAAAAAAGTAAGATTATGGCATCCGGACCCATCACTCCTTGGCAAATAGATGGGGAAGTCATGGAAGCAGTGACAGAATTCATGTTCCTGGGATCCAACATCACTGCAGATGGTGACTGCAGCCATGAAATTAAAAGACGCCTGCTCCTTGGGAGGAAAGCGATGGCAAATCTAGACAGCATAATAAAAGGTAGAGACATCACCCTGCCAACAAAAGTCCACATAGTCAAAGTGATGGTATTCCCAGTAGTAATGTATGGCTGTGAAAGTTGGACCACAAGGAAGGCCGAGCGCCAAAGAATAGATGCTTTCGAATTATGGTGCTGGTGAAGACTCTTGAGAGTCCCCTGGACTGCAAGAAGATCAAATCAGTCAATCCTAAAAGAAATCAACCCTGACTGTTCCCTGAAAGGTCAGATACTGAAGCTGAAGTTCAAATACTTTGGCCACCAAATGAGAAGGGAGCACTCACTGGAGAAGACCCTGATGCTGGGAAAGATTGAAGGTAAAAGAAGAAGGGAATGGCAAAGGATGAGATGGTTAGACAGTGTCATCGAGGCAATGAACATGAAATTAAGCAAACTCCAGAGGATGGCGGAAGACAGGGTCTGGCATGATGTGGTCCATGGGGTCAGACTCGACTGTGCAACTGAACAACAACAACAAAGCTCACAAAAGTTAATAAGTTATGGTAGTCTGTAAGGGGCTTCTGTAAAAGGTAAAGGTTTCCCTTGCTTGAAAGCCAGTCGAATCCAACTCTAGGGGCAGTGCTCATCTCTCTTTCCAAGCTTCAGAGGTTTGAGCAGACTGTTACCGATTCTACAAAAGCAGTTGTTCCACCCTTGGTCTGCCATTTCCCATGGTTGTACTGCTCAATTTCCCAATATTTGCTGATGACCGCATTTTGATCCACATGCCCCCTGATTCCCCCTGAGTCTTCTTGATCCTTATTTTTTAGGATCAAGAAGACGTGGGGGAAATTGGGGGGAGCTGTGGGTCAAAATGCAGCCATTCACCAAATAGCGGGAAATTGAGCAGTACAACTGGGGAAAACATCAGACCGAGGGCAGAACAACTGCTTTTGCGGAATCGGTCATAGTGTGCTGGCAACCATGAGACACATTCTTAAAAGCACTGGCACTTACACTGGGCGGCAGTGCCTGATATTCAAAATACTCCATGAACATGTAATTTGAAGAACAGTTTGAAATACTGGCTCCTCAGTTTTGGTTGTTTATTTTTGTTTTATTTGTTTTGTTTTGGGGGGGTTAATAGGCAGGGTTAATTTGTATGGACATTCTATTAGAACATTAGCTAATGGCTGGTCTCAAGGATGCTTGTGATCCCTTAAAACACCATAGCAGGGAATTCAGTAACTGTTATTCATCGGCAATGCAGTTAAAGATTCCAGTTTAAAGGGGTTTTTCCCCCCCAAAGAAAAATTACAGTCACAAAATGAATATTCAACATACTGTTCTTTTTTTCACTTTCAATAGTCATAATCAGTGTTCCCTCTAAGCTTCGTTAGTGTGAGTTAGCTCACAGTTTTTTAGTCTTCAGCTCACAGATTTTTGTCTTAGCTCAGGAAGGATGGCTCCAGAGCAATGTAATTTATGCAGTACCCAAATTGTTGCTCACAATTTTAATGCCAGTAGCTCACGAATTAGAATTTTTGCTCACAAGACTCCACAGCTTAGAGGGAACATTGGTCATAATAGATTTTGTTTTGAAGAGAGCAGAAACGTGACTTCAGTTTATCAGTGCTGCTGCCACAGTTTCCCCTTCTTCATCACTAAGATGCAGGAACTCTTTGTTTCTCTTCCATGTGGTCAACATTTCACTGAGTCACTGGCCTGTCTCCTACTATTCCACTCAGCAAAATCAGTAGTCTTCCTCTAGACTAAGGAGTATTCCTCTGGCTGAAGAGCCACAAGTTGGATGAAGGCTCCTTGATGTAGCTCTCATGAAAGCTCTTGGAGGACCTCTGAGGGCACTGCCCTAGCTCTTGGTTGCCACCAGCTTGGTGTCCCAACTCCCATGGGACCTCTCAAAGAGCATGCCTCATCATTCTCCTGGCTCAGTATTTTGTTAACCTATCACATCCCTTCTTTTTGTTAGGGAACACCACAGTTCCATGGTGTCTCTTATTTCTGACAGACATGTACTAATCACTAAATGACCTCTTTAACTGACTGTTGTATTCAAGGGCTGGAAGCTACCTCAGACTTTCAGAAGTAATTACTTCATGAAAAGTACCAACAGATCTATTTGGTATCTCTTATCTGAAAATAAGTCTTGTTTACTTGATGCTCCTTGATCTATCACTTACTTGATGTTCCTGACTTAATTAATTCCTTCCCTTGCCCTGTCTCTTGAATACCATCAGCAGACTTTGGCACCAGGTTTATATTTTGATGTCTTTGATGCCCTGTAGGGCCAACATTACATAGCAGTACAAAGAGATCTTAAAATGTTGGCTCACATCTGGTTCCTTTCTCCCTTTTCCTTGCATGATTCCAAGTGTATCTGTGTTTGCCCACAGGCTACTACTACAGTGTATGTAAGCATCTTGGATGAGAATGACAATGCCCCAGTGTTCCAGCAGCAGCAGTATGAAGTGACACTTGATGAAGGCCCAGGCATGCTCAATGCCATCCTTATCACCATCAGTGCAGTGGATCTGGATGAAGGACTGAATGGCACAGTTACGTATTCCATCACAGAGGGCAACATCATGGGCACCTTCCACATAAACCGCACTACGGTTAGTATGTGAGCACACCACTGCTTTCTTTGCACCACCATGCTGTGCCCCCCAGTCCACATTCCATGAGAGGCTGCCCTCACTGTTGAAAGCCAACTCTTTGTGTTTGTTTATTTCTCATTTTAGGGACAAATCCGCACAGTTAAAGAACTGGACTATGAAATAAGCCATGGGCGCTACACTCTGATAGTCACAGCCACAGACCAATGTCCAATCCCTTCGCGCCGTCTCACCTCCACCACAACGGTATGTATCTTCTGTGCAGAAAAGCATGAACCCTATGAATAGCAAGCACATCTCTAGAAGGACTTCCCAGTGTGGTAGACCCTACCGCGCTCCTCCCAAACCTTTGAGCAGAGCCTTCCTCCAGAGTAAGGAGTCATCTTCCAACTCAAGTGGCTCTTCCGTTGCAGAAAGTGCCACTTTAAGTTGGAGGAAGGTTCTGTAGGCTGAAAGAAGACTCTGTAGAGGATGGCTAGATCCACCCCAACTGCTGTTTACTGTTATCTCACTCACAGTCATACCCCTCCAACATTTTTTAATGAAAAGCAACTGTTACTGAAATTAATGCTTTCCCATTCTGTGAAGTTTGTACAGCAAAGTCATCTCTCTGCTAGTCAGTTACCAGTATTGTATACAGAGCCAGCATCAACATACCTTAGATGGGGCAGCTGCCAGGGCTCAGAGTTTCTGGCAGGGCCTAATGCTGCAGAGGCCCCCATAACCACACATTGCCTGACAGGCACAGCGGTGGTGTCCCTACCTGCACACACACCGCCCAGCTGCACGAGGGAAAGGACATATGGCCAGTGTGAAGGCTCACAAATATGCAGGGAAAGGAAACACACAAGGCTGGTGGGGATGTGGGTGGATTGGAAGACAGACACATGCAGGGGGCCTGGTGATGGTCAGAGGAGGAGAAGGGATCCCTGGGCGCTCTGCCGGGGGGCCTCCACTACCTGGAACCAGCCCAGATTGTATAATTATATATTATACCATTGCCACCGTATAAGAAAAGCAATTCAAAGGAGCCACTGTATCAGTGATTCTCAAAATGGTTATGATCAGTTTTAGAGGGGAAGTGTACTTTTTCCTGATCTGTCCTCAAGGTGCATTTTGTTTAGATCAGGACTTGGGAGTCAAAATGACAACCACTCCTTGCACTGACTCATTGTCATCCTTGGGAACCAGTAGGAGCAGTGTGGTGTAGTTGCTAAGACTGTTGAACTAGTATCCGGGAGACCAAGGTTCGAATCCCTACTCGTGCTGTGGAAACTTGCTGGATGATCTTGGGCCAGTCACACTCTCTCACCCTAACCTACCTCACAGGGTTGTTGTGAGGATAAAATGGAGGATGAGAGAATGATGTGAGCTGTTTGGGGTCCCCATGGGGGGAGAAAGGCCGGGTATAAAAGAAGTGAATAAATGCACTCCATTTTCTAAAACCTTTTTGCTTCCTCTTCCAGGTACTTTAACATTACTATAGTATGGACATGTAGCCGTCCTTCCCTTTTTCTCCTTTGAATCTGTTGGTTGTTACATGAATCACAAAGGCGAGTGGGCCCCCTAGTTTTGATGCAGTGTGCTGAAGGCCAGTTTATGCACCATGACTACCACAAAGAGCCCTTTTCGAGTGCTCCGTGTGTTGGCTGTTCATGTCAGTGACTCACTGTAAAAACTGCAAGGGTTTTATCACGGTACTGCAATCACCCTGAAAGAAGGGTTTGCAATGGCTTGGTGAGCCAAATACATACAAATTGTTCTACTTTGTAATAATTGCTGTCACATAGAGTGATGTCAAGTGACTTCTGTGGAAGAACAGGCTCTTCGTGTGACAGATGTGAAATGTAAATGAGCAGCCATTCTGTGAGAGGAACTGCAGCTTATTTTGACTTGAAGAGGCCATAGTCTGTGGGGTCTGCTAATGCAGTGGCATCTACTCTGTCTACAAGTTCTGTTTAGTAGGAGGGGGAGTCTTCTTTAGACCTCTAGTGTCTAGTAATTTCCCCCCTTTTCCTACTCAGTAGATGTCTGTCTCTTTGCTTTCCTAGCAGCATGATAGTGGCAGTCTTAGTGGTCATACACAGCCTTATCTTGAACTTTTTCTACGTCTAATATGCGGTCCCGCTGTCCATTGAGCATTTTAGGACTCTTCTGTGCATTTTTGTGTTAATCTCAGGTATTAGTAAACTTGAATGACATCAATGACAATCAACCAACTTTCCCACGTTCTTACGAGGGGCCCTTTGACATCACAGAAGGCCAGCCAGGTCCAAGAGTGTGGACTTTCCTGGCTCATGACGGAGACTCGGGGCCGAGTGGACAAGTGGAGTACAGCATCATAGCAGGGGACCCCCTTGGTAAGTGGTGGGAAAGAATATAACTCTGGCTCTGCAGTTTTCAGTCCATCTAGAAATGTACAGAAATGCAGGAATGGTTATCTTATGGTCAGTAGTAGTGCAAGGCAGGGAGCCAAAGTTCTTTTCCTACCTTATCCCTTACTTTCCTAAGCAAGTGTTTGAATTAGCCAAAATTTTCCTCTGTCTAAAGCACAAGCTAATAGAGGTGAGTAGGGTTGTCCAGTTTGGAACCTTGAACTGAACCACAGCAACCTATGTTTAAATGTCTGCCTTACTATTAATTTTTTGATATATTATTCTTTTGCCAGTCTAAAAAATGGGTGTTCTGCACAGCAGTCCTGTACTCAGACTACATAGGATTGTCCTGTAAGTCACTTCCCTAGCAAGGACTAATCAGAAATTCTATGGAAACTATGACATCTATAATAATAAAAAGGGATATGACTAGATTAAAGAAATCTTAGGTGATGACTCATATGAGTTTTATTTGATGAACTGTTAATTGATTAACTTTGTATATGAGCAAAAATGGTGATTCTGAAGTAATAATTTTAGTAGATACATTTCAACATGTGTAAGAGAGCAGGCAGTCTTTCCACATACTTTGGTTTAAAATAGTAGATAAAAAAAACCTGTCCAGTTAATGTAATGTAATTAGTCAGTCAAAAGAGGTTTAATCAACTATATATTGCAACTATTAAATAATAATGTTATTATGGATTGATGATATAATCTGTTCTGCTTTTTAATATTTGGTCCCCCATTATAATTACAAGAGTAATTTGGTCTTATCAGCAGGCTTCATATTGTAAAAGACGGAACTCAAGTAGAGTTTCTCCCCATTTACTTTATGCTAATTTTTCATGAAGTTGTCCATCAAAAAGCCTTTATATGCGTGCTTAAGTGTTTTTAAAATTAGGGCAGTTCTCATGTTCGATTTAGACCACACTGGTTAGACTGGCCTTGCTTATTCAGATCAGATTGCTCCCTTTGAAAGCCCTACAGCATCTGGCACACAATAAAAGCACAAAGAGGCTGGTTATTTTAATGCAGAGCATTCAGTGAGAGAGAGAAAAGGGAGTGGGGAAAAAAGCAGAAATGTCTTAGGAAAGTGAATGGAACATTTCGAAACCATCCCCTGAGGTACCTCTTTCTGAGAAGTTGGAGTGTCTACATCAGGAAATCCTGTTACAAGCAGCATCCGCCATGCAAGAAAACACTTCAACCTGTTGTACTATTATCCTTCCATAAGAGGCTTGAGCTCTTGCAGCTTTATTTCTTGAACAGAAAAAAAGCATGTTAGAAAGGCTATCCAATTTGCCTTGGAAGTGATTTGACTTCCTTATGTGGTAAAGTGAAGTCTGCTTGCAAACTCTAGTGATTAAAAACTGTAGAAGTATATTTCTTTGTTCTGGTCACAGTGAAGTCCCACATGGGTACACCTCCTGCACAGGCCTGCCATGAAAGAAGCTTCTAGAACTCTTAAATCAATTTGATTCCCCCCCTCCCAATCTCCCACCTTTTTGCAGGTATGAAGAGGGGGCGAGGAGCAGTATCCCTCTGTTCTCTCTCTTCCGCCGTGGAGGGTTGAAGCTTCTTCTCATGCTCCTTTTTTCAGTTTTCCACATTTCCCCTTCTCTAAGTGAAAACATAAACCTAAAGTCCACCTTTCCTCTTCTATAGTTTCTTCTTCACCTCATTCTTGAAACTGAGAATAATTTTTTTTCTCTTTAGAGAAGCAACCAGGGGAGGTGAAGTATAAATATGGGCCCTCAGTTGAAGAACCCAGTAGCTGGGTCTGCCTGCCTGGCTGTGGCAGACAGGTATGGGTCAGAGTCCTGACTCCACTGGACACAGCCCCTGCAGGGGACCGGTGTGGAAAACTCACTCCCACCCAGAGGAAGGTGAAGTGTAAATCAGTCCAAGAACCCAGTAGCTGGGTCTGCCTGTCTGGCTGTGGTAGACAGACAGGTGAGGTTCAGCGGCTGTCTTGCTGCCAGTAGGGGGTGAACAAGGGGTGACTGACACAAGCCACTTCCAGTGACTGGGTTCACTGGTAGTTCCCTTGATGGCCTGAACATGATGTGAGAAATGTCTGACAAACTTTTTTGTTTGTTTGTTTCCTGGGGTGGAGAATGTGCAAACAGGGGGAGCACAGTGGTCATGTCCGACAAACCTCTGTTTGGTTTCCTGGGTCAGAGAATGTGCGAAGAGGGGGAGGATGGTTGGCACATCCGACAAACTGGTTTTTTTTTTTTGGTTATTGTTTGTTTTCTGGGGCGGAGAACGCACAAAGAGGGAGAGGATAGTAGTCACGTGGGCACATCCGACAAACTGGGGGTTTTTTTGTTATTGTTTGTTTTCTGGGGCGGAGAAGGCACAAAGAGGGAGAGGATAGTAGTCACGGATGACATGCTTTTGTTTTTGTTTCCTGGGGCAGAGTATGCACCATGAGGAGGAGGATTGTGGTCTTAATGGTTCTTCAGAGTGAGGTAGACATCATGGGTGTTGGCTGTGGGGCAAGCCCAACCCTGCCCAGCAGAGATGGCCATTGACCAAGCACAAGGGCCGTATGCTGGGATCACCCTGTGAGGAAAAGGAAGGGGAGGACATACGGGAGGATGAATGGAAGATGTGCTCTTACTCCACCCAGTCCAGAGCAGGGTGGCCAAGCAGGATAAGACTCACCTTCAGAAAGGACAGCTCATCCATCCTGGCCAGGTTTAGGAGGTGTTGGTGTGGGCTGAGGATGTTTCCTAGATGGGAGAACACCTACCCGCTCTGGACACTAATTGGAGGACAAGAAAGCAGACTGATGGCCATGCTGATGAGATCAGGCCATATGGTGGTCTTTCATGCCCAGTATTCAAGTGGGTCAGAACTGGCAGGCTCTGGGGGCTCTGCTAGGAATTCCTGGAACATCACACCTACAGAATCCTCCGTCATCATACACCTAGGCCCCTCCCCAGCAGTGCTCCTGATTTCCCACCTCACGATGGACATCCAGAACTCCTGATACTGTCCTGGCCTCACAGTCTCTCCTCCCCCTCCTCCTTGTTCTCCTCCTCCTCATCTTTCTTCTCCTCCCCCTCCTCCTCCTCATCTCCCTCTACCCTCTGTTGCATTGGGCCTCATCCACGGCTCTGGAACCACCGCACTTCACGGCCAAGTTCACACTTCCACTGAGCAAATTATGCATTATGGAGGGCAATGCTGCTCTTGATATGGGGGGGGGGGTCATACATGTACACCAGTTTGTATTCCTGCACCTGGAAGAGAGGACACAACTGCTCGACAATGCCTTTTTGCAACCTGTCAACCAGGGCACTGACCTGGGGGAGAACCTCAGTCTGGCTGCACCACAGACTCCCTCGCCTATTCCAGCCCTTGAATGAAGAGGATGACTTACTGCAGGCTGGCCATGTGGGCACAGAGCACATTGGTGGCATCCTGAAATGGTTTCCCTCCATCTGGGAGAGGGTCAGCCAGTCATGGAAGCTGATGCTAAGCGCATCCTCCCCCTGCTGGATAGACATCCTGCACCAAACTGTTCTGCTCCACAAAACGTGCAATCATGGTGTAAGTGGAGTTCCACTAGATGCCCTCATCCTGGACAAGGACATGCTCTGGCTTCTCCCCTTCCCTCTGCTTCTCTCTCAGCAGCTGTGCAGCCTTGATGCTGCATGAAAAGTGGCCAGCCAAGCACCAGCAGTTTTCCAGCAGGGACCTGATCTCAACAGTGGCTTCATCCCACCCCACCACAACATGGCTCCCCAACCCCAGGTCATCCCTCACCACAAGGTGCAGCTTGTGCATCATGCAAACAATCTTCCCAAGTTTGGCCCCCTTGGCAGCCTTACACATGTTTGGGCAGCCATTTGTGACTAGATAGCCATGGGTAATCTTTCACCCACCAAATCACTCAAGCTACTCCACACAATGGTCGCAATATTTACTGCCATATGTTCCACATCCATACCCTGAGCGTGGAGAAGATCCACCTTATAGCCAGGCAAAAGTGTGCCTGTCCCCGCTTGAGGCATTGCTGCAGCCCCACACCAGAATTCTTCTAGTTTCTACCAGTGGGGGGTGAGGGAGAGGTAGCTGTGATGCTGGCTGCTCCAAAGGCCCAAAGGCTCCAAAGGTGGACAGTCCACCCTTGTGCTTTGGCGAGCTTGGCCCTGACCAGGTGCACCACATGGAGGGCAATGCTCACCAGCTCATGATCCTCCTGGAGGAGATGGTGTACCAGGGAGCCAAGTGGTGTATCAGCCCGCAAAAGGCCACATCCTCCACAACAGAAACAGCTGGCCATCCATAACAATCATCCGCCCAATGTGCTGAGTGACCACCTCATGAGCCCTGTCCCTCGTCCTCCTCACCAGCACTGCAGATGCCCCCACAAGCATGATCTCTTCTAGGGTGGCTTGCCCGGAGGACTCCACAGTAGCAACAGGAGACACCATTGGAATGGCCCACTCCTCCTGCCCCCTCCCCCTGTTGAGTGGTAGTGTGCCCTCTGTGCCTGGCAGCAGACTCTGGCATGCCTTCCTCCAGCGGTGGCAAACTGGGGTGTGACCTTTGTAACTGTAGAATGGTAGTGGTCAAGTGCTGCAGGTCCTGCCCCTCCAAATGTGTGCTCAGCACACCTGGCGCTCCACCATGCATGGATCACTGGGCAATGTGGAAGTACTTCCACACAGTAGAGTGGAGGCCTGTCTCCACGGCCATGATTAGGGTGCTTTGTAAGCACAACTACTTGCCAGAGTTGGGCCCTGGTGTGATTGAGGGGGGCATGCCAACAGAATAGAAACCAGCAGGGAATCATAATCGGGAATCTCCGGGTGTGGAACAGTAGGATGCATCATGACCAGCACCACTACCCTCAGAATCCCCGGCATCAGTGTCCTCCCTCCCACACAGGCTTTGGCAACGCAGTTTGGGTGGCACCATCAAGAGCTCTTGAGTGGCAGTCAAGACCAGCCCCATGGACGTAGATG